AACTGGGGAATGGAAGCTTTAAGCTCCACCCCCCTTAAGCCATTTGAAAGGCAAACCCGACTGGGGGGGCCCCAAGAAAAACCAAGAGAGGCCAATTTTAACGCGTCAGGCCAGTGGGGAAAAAGGTCGGAAAATCTAGGAGACTTTTGGGAAAGAGGAAATAACTTTTTATTCCAAAAATATAGGTCTTTTCTCATATTTCGTTGGAGAACACCAAACAAAGCCTTTAGGGATACAATCATTTTGAAAAAAAATTAAAATAATCAAGGCAACCCAAAAACGTATCTAAAGGGCACACCGCAAACCTCTACTCTCCTAGGTAATCTAGGGGTTTAACAGATCTCTTGGTCCCCCCACGCTTTTCACTCCTAAAAAAATGTCCCCTAGTTGCGTTGGTAAAAATTCAGCCCCCTCAAAGCCAATTTACCTCGTCCCAAGGGTGCTCTCCAGCATTATCTATTACTAATAAAACCTTTTTAAGAAAGTAGCAGAAGGCCCCCAGGGCCCCGGCCCCGCCCGCCCGGTGGCTCAGGCCCCATGTAATCCCCAGCACACTTTGGGGGGGGCAAAACCAGGACGGGTGGATTCACATAACGGGGTCCAAAGGAGATCCAGAGAAAACCAAATCCCTGGCTTAACCAACTGGGTGGAACCCCCCTCTCCCCCTACTCAAAAAATAAACAAAAAATAGCGCCCCCGAGCGGGGGTGGGGTGGGGGGCACCGCCCCCCTGGGTTAGTGCGGCCCCCCAGCTACTCGGGAGGCTAAGGCAGGAGAATGGCGTAAACCGGGAGGCGAGCTTGCAGTGAGTCTGAGATCCAGTCACTCACTCCAGCCTGGGCGACAGAGCGAGACTCTGTCTCAAAAAAAAAAAAAAAAGAAAAAGAGTAGCAGGCCGGGCACGGCGGCTCACGCCTGTAATCCCAGCACCTGTTGGGGAGGCTGAGGCGGGCAAATAACCTGAGGTAAGGAGGTTTCAAGACCAGCCTGGCCAACATGGGAAATCCCATCTTTTACTATAAATACAAAAATTAGCCAGGTGGTGGTGGCGGGCACATGTAATCCCATCCACTTGGGAGGGGCTGAGGCAGGAGAATTGTTTGAACCCAGGAGGCAGAGGTTGCAGTGAGCTGAAGATTGCACCATTGTACTGCCCAGCCTGGGTGACAGAGTGGGAGACCTCTATTTCTTTTCTTTTCTTTTTTTTTTTTTTTTTTTTGAGACGGAGTCTCGCTGTGCCCCTCAGGCTGGAGTGCCAGTGGCGGTGATCTCGGCTCACTGCAAGCTCCGCCTCCCGGGTTCACGCCATTCTCCGCCGCCCGCCTCAGCCGTCCAAGTAGCTGAGACTACAGGCGCCGCCCCACACCCGGCCCGCTAGTGTTTTGTATTTTTAGTAGAGACGGGGTTGTCACCATGTTAGCCAGGATAGTCTCAATCTCCTGACCTCGTGATCCAGCCCGCCTCGGCCTCCCAAAGTGCTGGATTACAGGCTTGAGCCACCGCGCCCCGCCGAGACTCTATTTTCAAAAAAAAAAAAAAAGAAAAAAGAAAAAAAAGAAGAAGAAGAAGTAATACACCAGCGTTGCCAGTGAGCAAGCAAGAGGGTGTTTGGCTACTGGAGTGCAGTGGAGGACAGCAAGGCGCAAATCAAAGGAACTTGCTTCTTCAAGCTCTTCTAGCAGTGGTTCTGACAGTGATGTTGACAAAAAGTTAAAGAGGAAAAAGCAGGTTGCTCCAGAAAGACCTGTGAAGAAGCAAAAGACTGGTGAAACTTGAAGAGCTCTATCATCTTCCAAAGAGAACAGCAGCAGCAGCACAGATGAAAACCTGATGTTTCAGGTTAGGAAAATGAAGTACATCAGTGTGTGGGATTTTTTTTTTTTTTTTTTTTTAGACTTGTCCCCCAAGGCTGGAGTGCAATGGCACGATCTTGGCTCACTGCAACCTCTGCCTCCGGGGTTCAAGTGATTCTCCTGCCTCAGCCTCCCAAGTAGCTGGGACTGCAGGCACTCACCACTATGCCTGGCTAATTTCTGTCTTTTATGTCGAGACGGGGTTTCACCATGTTGGCCAGGCTGGTCTCGAACTCCTGACCTCAACTGATCTGCCTGCCTTGACCTCCCAAAGTGCTAGGATTACAGGTGTGAGCCACCATGCCGCGCCAGTGTTTGGGATTTTAAAGGGGAATTGATGTTAGATAATTGGATGGATCCAGAAGGTGAAATGAAACCAGGAAGAGAAGGTATTTCCTTGAATCTGGAGCAAAGGAGCCAGCTGAAGGAACA